AGACATCTTCCGAAGCTCAGGAGGAGGCAGGACAGGGGGTGAGGGTCAGATGTCTGTGTGGGAGACCAGGGCCCAGACGGGGTCTCAGGACAGCGATGGCAGGTGTTCAGGCTCAGGGTTTCCTAAGGAAATGGGGAGAGGATGGAGGACCACCCTCCTTGGCAGGGACCCTCAAACTCAGTTTGGTCTCTGAACTAGGGGTCCTCCTGGGTCCTCAGCAGCCCCTGTCCCACTTTGAGACACAGGTCAGAAGCTCCCAGGACAGGCACCGGGCGTCTGACCTCCTGCCCCTCCCCCGCTTTGCAGGTCAGCCCAAGGCCGCACCCTCGGTCACTCTGTTCCCGCCGTCCTCTGAGGAGCTCACCGCCAACAAGGCCACCCTGGTGTGTCTGATCAGTGACTTCTACCCGGGCAGCGTGACGGTGGCCTGGAAGCAAGATGGCACCACCGTCACGCAGGGCGTGGAGACCACCAAGCCCTCGAAGCAGAGCAACAACAAGTACGCGGCCAGCAGCTACCTGAGCCTGTCGCCCAGCACGTGGAAGTCGCACAGCAGCTACAGCTGTCAGGTCACGCACGAGGCGGGCACCGTGGAGAAGACGGTGTCCCCCTCCCAGTGTTAGGCCCCCGGGCCCCCACCCTCGGGGGCTTCCTCACCCAGACCCCCCTCCCCACTCTCCATGGACCCCTGAGCCTCTGCCCAGGTCAGCTCAGACCAGGCGGGTCTCATCCCGCCCTGTTCCTGCTCCTCCTTAATAAAGACCTTGTCATTTATCATCTGACATGTCTGATGTGCACTCTGTGTCTGGCCGTGTCTCTGGGTTAAGGGTCAGTGACTACAGGAAGGGACAGTTGGTGACATGAGATTCCATGTACCTGACGTCCCCCCAACCTGTCCCCCAGGGACCAGGGAGCTCTGAGTGCTGGTGGGAGCCGTGACCCAGAACAGAGCATTGTTGTGTGGTGCCAGCCCCTGGGGTGCAGTCCTTGTGCCCTGGGAAGGGAGAAGGG